TGTATGTGTGCGCGCACGCGTGCGTGCATGCGTGCGTGCTTGCGCGTGCGCTTGGGATGTTGAAGGCGTTCCTCTGCTTGGACAGGAGCAAAACGGCAAAGATGCCTGGAGCGCTACCAGGACAAGGCTGTTTTGGCCTGGTGCCGTGTGCGCATGAAAGCGCTCGCGCTACTGCTGCTTCCCGCCCAGCGCCCGCGTATGCCCGTCACGGCCCGTCAAGCCGCCCATGGCACAGCACCGCCCCCCCCCCCTGCTGCACCACGCTGTGCATCGCAACCCGCAGGTCGGCCCTGCCTGACCGCCGCGGCAGCTACTTTTTCGCCCTGACCAACCCCACGGCGGATAACCCCAGCCCTGGCAGCGTCACGCTGTACGTCAACAGGCGCGGCAAATGGTGCGCAGAGCCCCGCCGCAGCCGCCACACTGCTGCAAGATCGATCCCAGGACGGGAAGGCCGCACGCTGGAGATTGCCATGCCACCGCAGCCACCAACAGGCTGTGCGCGATCAATTGGCTCTTGCCGATGTGTGTCGTGGTGGCAGCCCATTTCTACCAAACTCTAAATCCCAGGGAAGATGCTTGTTGGTTCCAACATGAACCCTGAAGGCATCATCGCCACTCCCAGACCCTCACAACGAAATCACCAGCTTCCTTCTCCTTATCCAAAAATTGCCTCGAATGCAATCGGCCCCGTGCGATCCACGCTGCAGGTCAGGCGTGATGTACCAGCCAGCCGGCGGTTACGCCGCCATCGAGGGCGACGTCGCCGCCCACGCCGCCGCCGTGCGCCGGCTGGTGCCGCCGGGGTTCCCGCGGGCGTGGGTCGGCCCCATGGCGGAGCAGATGGCCGCGGTCGGCGCCAGCGGGTGCGCGGGCCTCTTGTGCTGGGCGCGCTGTGTTTGAAGCTCATAATCATCATCCTGTGCGTCCTGTGCGTGCTGCTGCGTCTGCTGCGCCAAGGCGCCCCTGCAGTTTGCTCGCAGTGCCGGCCGGCGCCCTTTCGACCCAATGGGATGGCAGGCGGGGGCTCAAGGCCGCGCGCGCAGCGTGCGTCGCGCTCCGCCTGCAGTGCAACTTTGACCCGTGAGACTGCTGGATCGGCTGTCGTTCGCTTGCAGGGTGACCCCCATGCACCTGTCCACGCGCATCGCGTGGCCCGAGGCGGCCGCCCTGCTGCTCGGCGACAGCGCCCACAACGTGACGCCGCAGCTGGGCCAGGGCTGCAACAGCGCACTGGAGGACACACGACTGCTTAGCGCCGCCCTCGAGGCCGCGGCGCCAGAGGCGGCGTTCGCGGCCGCCGCGGCATCAAGCGGGGATACCGAAGCGGGTGCGGCAGCGGGCACAGACGCCGGCGCGGGTGCAGCACCGGCGGCCGAGGCGGTGGCGGGGGCCGCGGCCCGCCCGGCGGTGGCGGCGGCGCTGGCGCGGTACGAGCGGCGGCGCCTGCCGCAGGCGCACGCGCTGCAGCTTATAGAGGAAGAGAATGCATGGGTGAGGCGCCCGGCCGCCCCTGGCAGGGAGCCCCTCAGGATGACATACATGCGCGTGGCTTGGGCCTGCGCCGCCGCGCTGCTGGCGGCCGCGCACGCCATGCTCGCCGCGCTGCCCGGCCCGCTCGCGGCGCGCGCGCCGCAGCTGTCGCCGTCGCTGTTTGAAAACGTCATGGCGACGGCGGCGCCGTACGATGCGCTCCACTGGGCGGTGCGGGCGGCGCTGCTTGTGGCGGCAGCCCTGCTGTGGGGCGCGGTCGCCGCCGCCTTGGCCGTGGTGCGCACGGCCGTGCGGGCGCTGCTCATGGTAGCTGCAGGGGGGTGAAGGGGCGAGCGGTCATGTTCATGATACTGAAAGCTTGATAAGGCAGGCAAGGATGGTGGTGTTTTGCGCTGACTTTCTTTTCTCTTCTGAACGGCCGCTCGACTCTTCAGCCGGGATGACGCCGGGCGCTCCCCGCCAAGCAGCCTTCCCGCGGCGCTGGCCGGCTGTACATGTGGTGCTGCTTGTGTGCGCATTTTGTGCCCCTCGCTGTTTGCTAGACGTTGGATTGGTCCTTTGCCGCTGCATCGCACGCGTACATGCAGCGCTGCTTTTTTAGTTGATGGGTTGCGGCTGGCTTTCGCACGTGCATGTCGACTTCAATTTGCTGCGGCGCCACCACTGCACCCTTCAAGGCTGCCCGAGTGCGATGCCGCTTGTGACATCCGACCTTTGCATGGAGCAGGAAGTTCAACCTTTTGAGGTTGAGCGGACCCTCAACGCACTGCTTGATCAGCAGAACCGATGTGACCTGTTATCAAAAACAGCGACATACCCACTGCCTCTGTTCCCCACTGTGAAGCCCCCTCCGCAAAGCAATAGCGGTTGGACGCAGCTGCTGATGACGCAACGGTGATGAGATGCTTTACTTCTTGGAGTGGCAGGAATTACGGCATGCATTGACCTTGTTGCTCCAAACCAGTGTTGACTTTATGATGCAGGCATCCGTCCGCACGCGAGCGGGCTGACAGTGCAAGCGTAGGCTCTGTATCGCGACGAGCCAGGCTTGGTGTGCGGCGCGGCAACAGCGACGGTTCAGGGATCGACGGTTTCTGGGTGGCACACCCTAAACCCTCAGCCCCGCAAATTCTGCAGGAAGGGAAGCCCCGTGCTCAAGGAGCGCGCTGCAAGGGAGGCATGCGGCGCAGAGCCAGCCGCGGGCTCCCACCGACGATCGGCAGTCCTCCAACCTTAAAAGGCGGCATACCCAGCGCACATGGGTGCGAATACAAGCACCATCAAACCCTTGACTCTGGTGTGGAGCCCGGATGTTGCGGAACGGGTGTCAATCAGGCGCCAGGTGCCCAATGAATGGCGTGGGCGGGCAAGCGCGGCAGCCTTGTGTGCTCGGCGTGGGAAGGCGGGGCGAATCGAATCGTCGTGCGCAGCGCGTGCGTATCAGTGCTTGTGCAGAAACGAGGAAGGGAGACAATGCCTTATGTGCAAAACCGACCGCGGGGAGGGGGTGCTGCCAGCCACCCGCCCCATCAAAGCATGTTCAGCGCCACGCGTCGGCCCGCCGCCCCGCCGCGGCGCCGACGTGCGACGGCGCAAGGGGCGCGGTGCGCGCGCCGCAGCGCACGCGCTGCGCCGCACCGTGCGCTGCGTGTGCTGCTCGGATCGCCCTCAGGGTGGGGGATCGTTGCATAGTATAGCAGTAATGCATAATCTGGACGCGTGCATGTGGCGCGCAGGAGGGCAGCCCAAGAGAGGCGACAACGTAGTGAAATCAGGGGCGACGCGATGGGACAGGGGGCCGGCCACGGGCAGCGAGCTGCTTGCCCCCGCACGCGGCCACAGGGCATGGACTGAGGGCCCGGGGAACGTCCAGCCGGATGCGGTGTTGCCGGGGTGCATGTGCATGGGGGAGGGTGGGCAAAGTTTTGGGTATTGTGACGGCCAATGGCAGAGGGAGGACGGCTGCTGGGCGGGGGCGGCGCGCGCGCGCTCGGGGATGCAGCGCACTGACAAGGCCGCGCAGCCTTGAAAAGCAAAGGGCTGCGGGCGGGCGCACCCTGGGGAGAAAACAGCATGTCTGGCAACAGGGCGGGGTGCCGCGGCGCGCCTGGGCTCGGCGCTGACCTGTCGCTGAGTCGCCGCCAAGGGGAGGCCGCGAGGGCCGCGGCGGGCGGCCGCGCAGGAGGAGCCGGGGCGGCGAGCGCGCGGTCGCACGGATGCGAGGGCGCAAGGTGAGGACGCAAGTGCATGGGTGCGTGGAGTGGGCCTTGGTGCACCGGACGGCTGCTCGCTGCATCACCATGCTCGGGCCTAATAGCAATGTGAATCAGCAACGAAGAGCTTTTTGGTGCGACTCTAATTTCGAAGTTGAGCAGCCAAAGGACGCCCGCACTGCGGCTGGAAGCTGGGGACGCACGCGCACGTGACAGTAAATTGTGTGCACGGCCGGCACGAGCGCAGCACGGGGGCCGCGGCCGCACCTCCAGGCTGCATGCCAGCTGGCAGCCCCGCCGGTGGTCGGGATACAGGGGCTAGGGCGCGGGGCGCCAACAGGGGGGGCCGACTTGAGGACGATAGCGATGAGGAGATTTGGGGTGGGGTGGGGCCTGTGTGCGTCGTCACCTGCTTGCAGGCCGACGCCTACTTGCCATACGCGCGAATTTGCCGGTGAGGTGGCGGGTGGGGCGCGGGCCGGTGGGCGTGGGGGGTGTTGCACCGGGACGACCCCGTGGTCTGCGGGCCTCGGACCGAGCAACGCACCCTGCCGCCACCGCACGGCCTAGCCAGCAGCCGCGGCCCCAGGCACCGCGGGCGGCGCGCGCCCGGTCGAAACACCGGTCATGCGTTGCGCGGGGCTGAGTTCCCCGGACAGGCCGTTGCTCATGAAAAGCTTGCGCGTGCCAAAGCGCCTGAAAGAAGGGGTTGCCCTTAAAGCCATCCGCGCAGACAGCTGTGTTCCTGGTAATGAGGGGCCCCGACGGCCGCACGGGCTGGCCCGCGCCGCCCGCAGCGCAGCGCCGCAGAGACCCGCTCCAGGGCGACGCGTGTGCCTGGGCCGGGGCCGCCCCAACCCGGCGCGGCAGACCTCCAGCAGCCGCGCCTCGACCGGCCGTGTGGAGGCCACGCATGCAACCCGCGCCGCCGCTGTGTTCAGTGCGTGGCCCCGCCAAGGGTGACACCCGGCAGCGTCTCAGGGGACGGGTGACGCGACCGTCACGTAGGGCTGCTGCCCCGGCTGCAGCGGGAAGCTTCCCGGGGCGCCGCCGCCGCCCTCCTGCTGCCGCTGGTGCTGGAACTGCTGCTGGGGCGGGGCCGGCGCGCAGAGCGGCCCCGTCGCGGCGCCGCCGGCGAAGAAGGCAGAGAGAGGCGTGTCCTGCAGCGGCGAGAGGCCGGACGAGTCGGGGCTGCCGGGGCCGCCTGCGGCGGCGACGCTCGCGCTGCTGATGAGGCCAGCGGCAAGCGGATGGCCGCCC